TAGTAGGCGGGCCCAGGTATGTACATTCTTTTAGAGCAGAGCTACAGATTAAAAATGCCCAAAGCGAAGCGGTCAAAATTCTTGCTGTACTTCACAGCAAAATATGCAAACTCAGCAGCCTGCAACAAGTGCTTTAAGCTGATACTGTGATACTGTCAAAGGAGGTAACTCCTCGAATTTGATGAATCACCTAGCAATGTATAGCATTTTGTTAAAAGCCGAGAAATGCACCGTATTTGATAGCTTGCTGCGAGACCTCACATCGTGCACATCTACTGTGGGTGTGGTGCCTGTTATCGGACCCAGAGTTAGCAACGTCCCCCAAGAACCCGAAGAGGAGAGTCCTGGCCCCTCCCATATGGAAAAGAAATAGTAAAAACGATTTACTGATGAAAGTGGCCACTTTTTCATTACTTTCATATATTGTTTTAGTAAGTATCCAAAACATACAAGTTTCATTATATAATTTTTCAAGGGATCTTATATGTGTTTTCTTGTATGCTTTTCATACAAGTTTCACACAAGACAGATACAAACTTTATAAGATTTATATATATCTTTTCCATGTGGGCTAACCCTGCCAGTGTAGCAGAAATGATGACGGATGATGTTGATGGCAGCAGCAGCCGTTCTTCTCTGCGTGAGTAGCTTAATGTTGTTTGTGTGTAATTTACGTTGAGTAGGCTAACCACATTATTACATTAATGCACGTAAGGTGAACTAGCAAACAGCGTCGTAGTTACATGCGGCTGTCTTCTTGTTTGGTGGCAGATACTCCCTTCATCCTGGCCAAAAAGGCTAAAATGACCAAAGAAAAAGCTGAACATGAGAGGTTTTTGGACAAAGTTTATTGTTTTTTTCCATTGATTAAGCACTGCTTCCAGCCAAGAGTGATACCATATACTCCCTTCATCCTGGCCAAAAAGGCTAAAATGACCAAAGAAAAAGCTAAACATGAGAGGTTTTTGGACAAAGTTTATTGTTTTTTTCCATTGATTAAGCACTGCTTCCAGCCAAGAGTGATACCATATATGCCCTATAGCTGCAGAAAAGGCTAATATTGTTATCTTTCTACAAAAAACCCCCCAGCTAAACGTGAGAGGTTTTTGGACAAAGTTTGTGTTCTCCATTCTTTAAGCACCAGTTTGAGCACCGTTTAAGCACCGGCACCGTTTCAAAAGTACCGGTTTGGTACTGGTATCGGATAAAACCTAAACAAAACCCATCCCTATATATCACACATCTATATATACACTGTCAAAGATACTTGTCTTTGAGTGAAGATTTAAGATGATAGTAAATTTGAATAAATGCAACTTGAATCTTTACTGAAGCTCAGTGAATGACAGCTCACTGCTGTAATATATCATAATAATATGACAATAACTATAATATTGGCCATATTACAGTGGGATGCAAAAGTTTGGGCAACCTTGTTAATAGTCATTATTTTTATTGCAATAAAAAATGTCAAATGTTAAATTTATCATATAGGAGACACACACACAGCGATATTTGTTTATTGGATTTACAGAAAGTGTGCAATAATTGTTTAAACAAAATCAGCCAGGTGCATATATTTGGGCACTGTTGTCATTTTATTGATTCCAAAACCTTTAGAAGTAATTATTGGAACTCAAATTGGCTTTGTAAGCTCAGTGACCCCTG